CATCATAAAAGAAGGAAAATTACCATATAGACGAAAGCGCACAAAAGTGATGATTGTAGTTCACTGAAAATACTCCTTAACAAATTAAAACATTTTTTGGACATGAAAGTAAGAATAAAAAACGAAAACACTGATCGTGATAGATTCTTTATGAACTTTTTTTTTGTAGATACGAATGTTCATTATCATTTTATTGGTCTTACAAATAAATCTTTTCTACAATGTATAGAAGCTTCGAATCATTTTCTAATTCATCCATTATGAATCCCATGTACCACTGAATTGAGCCGAAATATAGAGACGAAATTAAACCCTAATAAAACCAATATTAGAAATTATTGTCAGATCTGCGATATTAATTGTTTAGGCTTATATCGTCAACAATATAACTTTCCTTCTACTTGAAAGTAGTCTAGATTATATGTGAATGATCTTATTTCAAAACACAGACCTTAGATGATTCAATATATATGTCTTTTTTTTGAAATATATTAAACAATTTGTATTGCATTTCATATTATTAAATTCCAAAAATTATTCATTCTTCCAGGTTACTTTTCGCTTCTCATATAACATTCACGTTGAAACAATTTGTAAACACCAAATTTAAGTCTTAAAATGAATGGCATTTATGAAATTAACCACGGATTTTGATAGACAATATCAAAGATCGATTTATATATAAATTAAAGATAAGGAACGGAATACTTTTATCTATATTAGAAAGTTAATTTGAATCACTGTAAAATCTCTCTTAAGTGAATATGAGCGGAACTTTTTTTTGAAAAAATTCACCTATAGAAAATGTATTTCAAGTAAAAGTTACTCCCTGAGATCGAGAGCTTGTTCAAAATCAGAGATCCTTATTAATAGAGATTCCACTGTAATGGGCACTATAAGAAAATATAAAAAGCAGAAAAATAGCTGAAATTATCGAAGGATAGTATTATATTATTAGAATATGTGAATTAGTATTCATTGGAAATAAAATATCCTTTAAATCGGAAATATTAAATGTATACTGTGGAAAACCTAATGATACTATATGTTTTGTATTTTGTTTTGGTTCAAAATTATTGAATAATAAAAGATCAATTTGGTTATTTATTATTTTTTCCAATTCCATATTGAACATTTCTGAGATACGATAAACTGGTAATCTAGTATTTGTATCTATTAATGATTGTAAATTTCATCCTATTCATAAAGATTCCGAACAAAGAAACACATTCACACTGTTATTTCAATATATCCCCGTGTTCTTATAGATGTTAAATATATTATTGTTACTGAAAGACTTTTTGTTCATTTCAAAATAGGGTGCATGAAAATGGCAAGACAAATGAACTATCTTCTACATTCTATCATCGAATGATAGCATCAATGTTTTGGAGCTTAACGTTAATGATTTCTGTAATACATAAATGAATGCAAGAAATATCAACACTCTCAAATGGTATAAATTAATATACAATGACCAACGTAAAACCTAGGAGGGAAAAGCAGATCCTGAGATCCCATTTGAATTCCATCAAGAACCAGTAGGAACCAGTACGATCCATTAGGAACTAGCAGAATTCATAAGAATCCAAGGATCTAGAGTCCATTTTTCCCTTGCATGGAACATTTCAAGAAATTTCCCGACACATTTCTATGTGTAATTCCTTCAAAAATCGAGAGCTAGTAAGAAAAAAAAAAGATTTTAAACTAGTATTTTATCGGAGTTATCTCCTCCGATGAATCTATTCAGAACTTTTAAATAAAAAAAACAAACTTCATGGTAGCAAAGCCGATTTTCGATAAATGGCAACATCTTTTCGACTCGCATGCTCAATAGAATATTGTTTCGGATCTGGCTACATACGTGTATGTGCAAATCCAAAAAAGTTTGAAATGATACACAAAATCCATCTGTATGATAATAATCTCTATATCGTCATTATTAAAATTTACATTTATTTGTGGCAATGTTTACTTCTCTGAATACTATAGTTTTTCCCACAACGAATACACAAAAGAGACAAGGGAAACGTAAGCTAAAAAGTTGTTTTTGCCTCAACGTCAAGATCTACATTGACTGTAAACGGACAATTTGATACTAGTTATAGTAAAAATCTCATTGAAAACTCATAAGCAACCAGTTGGATTGAGATCGAGATGTTTGGTAATATTTAAAATAGAGGATGTCTCATTTTCTAAAAGATTTACTAAACAATTAAACATAGGAAGAAAGGTAAATATCATTTTTGATAATATCATGGAAAACAAAAATCGGACAAAAAGCATTGACATGGCATATGAATGAGTGCTTTATATAATACTTTATATAAGCATTTTATAAGTGAAACATCCTTACGAATATTATCAAACAAGTAATGAATGATCTTAATCACGTTTAAATCCACTAATTATTTTGGCTCATATTGATTGTCAAAATAATGTTCGCATGAAAATTGAACAAGGTCTTTTTATATTGCTTATTAGGTAGTGATTTTTTAAGATATCTTTTAAGAAGAAATGAATGATGAATAACGAGTTTCATTTTTTATTGTTTACAGACTGTCTTTTAGCATATATATAACAATTCGTCATAATTGATATACATGCTGTGCCTTGTTAATGCTGTCATACGCTTGGCATTTGCCGTACTACGTTCACATGGAATAGTTTCGAATGTTATTTAGTTGTTGTATTTGTCCTTTGACAAACTGCTAGAAAACTTAACAATGTAAGATCGAAATTAGATTACTAGTTTCTTTTCATTGTACTTAATGTTAAATATTTGATTACTACTAAATCACAATAAGAGTTCATGTAGACTGACATTTACAATCAGGCTCTTCAACATTTTCAATTGTATTTCAAAATCAAGTTTTAGAATGGAATTATCTGTGAATTTCAATTAGAAAATTCATTGATGTTTGTCTTATCAATATCACAATTATTTGTTAGGGGAATAATATCTTGTTTGTTATATATAACAGATGGTCGTTTAAAACAATCGCTATAACTAACTATTTATTTCTTTCTGTTTGTCTTTCTTCCATGTCGTTATGAACTATAACATATTTGTAACAAATATTAAAGTGTTTACATTGCTTTTTAACCAATATTATGCTCACTTTTCAAATATTCATTATAAACGAAATGAATATAAAATGAAGATCGATTTATTTTTCATGTATTCAGTATCTTTTTCTAGTTTTACATTATGTTCAGAGCGACTACTAAGATAGACAAATAGTAAAACAAACGATTTTTTTAAGCATAGAAACCGCACATTTTAAGGAACTAAAACAACTTTCTATTTTTGGAAAAAATAGCTCGAGAACTCCTTAGCTCATGAATGACTACCTTTATCCTCTGAGCATATCAAAACTATTTAACACAAATGAATTAAACCAGTATATTTCAGTCGCTCCAATTATGGATGCACTGAAAAACGAAATATGGTATGATACTGAATCAAAAAGGGTGTCATGGAGTAAAAAAAAGGTTTCGTACATAGTTCGGGACTTAAAAAGGTTTCGAATTCGTTACAATTCTCTAATCCCTTTTGGGTTTCGTAGAGAAAATAACGAACCACTTGGAAAGGTATGCTTGGCCAATCAAAATTATTTTAGGGCACCCAAGGTTTTTGCGAAACCTTTTTGAGGATTTCGTATTCATTTCAAAAACCGTTCGGTAATCATAGTAATTTTTTTCACTACACCGGATCATTTTTGAAATGAATACGAAACCCTCAAAAACGTTTCGCAAACATCTTGGGTGCCTTAAAATAATTCTGATTGGCCAAGTATACCTTTCTCAGTGTTTCGTTATTCTCTCTACGAAACCCAAAAGGGTTCAGAGAATTGTAACGAATTCGAAACCTTTTTAAGTTCCGAACTATGTACGAAACCTCTTTTTACTCCATGACATCCTTTTTTGGTTCAGTATCATACCATATTTTTTTCAGTGTAGTTCTAGTAGTGGACGAAGTCTTACGAGGATTAGTTTGTTGAAACTCATATTTGATCTGACTCGACTATATATGACTAGAGTTCAATTAAATTCACTGGTGGGTGTTAGATAACAAAGCTCTAATGTAGAATGATTTAATTTATCAGCCAATTATAAATTTGAATAATTTCGTACTTCTAAAATGTATTTGACTTTTTTAGCAATTCAATGACTCTTGCAAAACAAATCCGCTAATCATTGATTTTTGATGAAAATTAAAAATTGAACAACATTAATTAGATATACAATGTTTTGTATGATAATACCTGTAGGGATGCACCAATTCCAATTCTTATTCTTGGCTTGGAATTGGTGGAATTGATTGGAATTGGAATTGGAATTGGAATCAATCGGAATTGTTTTTTGTAAAATCGCTGATTTCGTACATATTTCGACAAATTATAAGTTTTTTTCAAACCAATTCCAAACCAATCCCAATTTCAAATCCGACCAATTCCAATTTCCAATTTCAACCAATTTCACCAATTCTAAGAATTGGAATTGACTCAGACTGGAATTGTTGCATCCTTAAATATCTAATCATCTTGATATTAGTCTTCGTCAAAATTCTCACGAAAATATTTATTTCATTGGCATGATCAACAAATCGAACAAACGTTATTTAAATTATTTAGAAATGATTATTATTATTGAAGATATTTCGAAATCATATTTTATTGATATTTCTTTTTGCCAATAAATAAAAACATAAAAGAATGTGAAACTCATTGGCTGAATAATTAGTAAATGTGAAAGGAAAATCAAGCAAAGACAAAACAAAAGATTTGAGTAATCCAAAATGAGTAGATGAATTTTAATTAATACTTTGCTTATTTATTTGATTAATTGATAAAATAATATCTGCAGCTGCTTCTTCTTCAATTCCAAGAATTTCAATTATAGGTCTACGAAGTTGAGGTGAATCTTAAAGTCGACTATTGATACGATTTTGAGAAACCTTTGGAAAAATTTAGTTTTTTTCTTTTCATATATACATATCATAAAAGATCACCCACTCCGAGTTGATTCTTTTCAAAAGTTTGTTCATAAAATTGTTTAACATCTTTTGTTTGTATAACATTAATTGGCAAACGAGATGTTGTCATTAACCAAGGGCTTGTCCGAGCATTATTACTAATCTAAAAACAATAATAATTATTAAACAAAGAAAAAAAGAATAACAACTATAAACTAACATGTTTAACATCAATTCTTACAATTTCATCAATTAATATTGTTTTTCCAATATCTAATAAAATATTTACTAGTCGAATAACAGTTGATTGATGATCAAAATATGAAAGTTCTTTTCGACTACTACATTTATTAATCATCTTAAACAAGAAAAAATAATAAATTAAAATTTAACAAAAATAAAAATTTTTATTTTCACTTGTTCAGGTAAAATAACTCCTGGTGTATCTTAAAGTCATTTTTCATTTTTATATCAATCAGGATTAAAAGCTCGCATCTTCTTTTGTCGATAATTAATATAATGATGTTCACTTGATTCATATGAACGATTTTCATAAAAAGAATTTTCACTAGACAAATATGTATATGATACACCAGAGATGCCAACAGGCCACTTTTTTCTGGCCTGGCCTGGCCTGCTGCCTGACCTGGCCTGGCCTGACTTAACCTACAGGCCAGGCCAAAAATCAAAGAGTGGCCTGCGGCCTGGCCTGGCCTGTCCTGGCCTGACCTGCAGGCCAAACCAGGCCAATTGATGTTTCTGATTTTTCAAATCCATTAAATTCTATAACTCTGTATTAATACATGGTTCCAATTTCAATTATTTATTTAATTTATTTTCATGAAGATAATGGAATAACAAGTTTTGCACAAAATAGCAAATTAAAACAAAGAGACAAACATCTTAAATATTTTTCGTACAAGAAAGACTTGAATTTACGAAAATTTTTGATGAGATCAATACTTCTTCACATAATCGAAAGATGTTTAAGCATAATAACAAAAACAACATATGATCCGGGATACGACGAAGAGTTAAAAGAAAATATATAAGTAAGACGTAGGGAATAAGAGGGAGTAACAGCAATAAGAAAGAACATTTACATTTGACTATTCAATTTGGCAACAGTACGAGTGCAAAGCACATTATCCAATTGTTCAGGATCTAAACAAGTTCTTCTATTAGTTAATGAAAGCCCTGCGATACTAAATTGCCGCTCGATTCCAGCACTAGTTGCTGGAATACTATGAATACTTTTGGTGCCATCTCATGTTTCAAGATGACTACCCATGTAAA